CAGCAAGCTCAAAAGAATAGAGCTGAAAATAATAAGGTAGTAAAGGTGAGATTTGTTGTCTTTATTACTCTTTATATATTGTTTGTTTATTTTTATTTTTATTTTTCTATTTTAAGCCTCAAAAGCCCACGCCATCTCAGAATCAACAACAGCAGCCTAGTGGCGGCTCTTCCATCGCTGCAACCACGCCACAACAAATGGTAGTTCCAAATGGACAGGCACAGTCACAGCAAACTGCACCAACTTCATCATCGGGCGTAATGACATCTATTAATTCTCAACAAGATATGCAACCTTCTTCTCTCAATACGAATTTAGAGGAGGTATGTAAATTACTGTATTGTTAATAATGGTTGTTGGTATAAGCGAGGTTTATTTCCACTTATACACAAACAACCTGCCATAATATTGAGAGTTACGTATAATTGCTAGTTTCATTTTTAAATGTATGGAAGCATATATATTTATCTATGTTTTTTTGTAGATTGCGAGTTTTGCTGCGCAATTTGATTTGCCAATTGAGGATTTGAATTCCTATGATTTTCTTGGAACTGGTGCTGGAACCAATGACAATTCACTTGATATTGGCGATATTCTTAACCTCGATTTATTAGATGATATTGGATCAACAAATAATTCAGGTCCAAGCGCGGCTAGCAATGGCAACTAAATACATGTTTAATAATAATAATAATAACGAACATTTTTTCTTTATTTTATTTTATTTTATTTTTGTTTTTTGTAATATACACCTTTTTTCACAACGTGAATTAGTTTTGCAAGTATCTCGTCATTGCCATTTAAAAAATTTAACATTGCTGTTTTCGGTTGTAACTTTAGAGTTGGACGTATTTTAAGATGCGTTGGTTATCTATTATATATATGTGCTGGTGAAATGCCTGTAAATTACATGGTCATTTCTAGCATTACTTTTTTTCATGCACATTTTATTAGATTTCTTTCACATATATTTCTTGCGCTTAATGGCAAGCATATTTTATATAGCATATTTGTATAGTATATAGTTTTGTAAGAGAATTATTCCTAATACAAGAATAATTTTTCAAAACCCTTTTTATATATCATTTTCCACCCCATAGTAAAAGTAGTAACATATATAAGTAGTAGTAATGAAAATTTGATTATTTTTTTTCTTTTTTTTTTTTTTTTTTTTCCTATTATTATTATTACGGCATATATGTATTTTGAAGTTTAAGAATTCTTTAAGGCGATTTGTTACTATATATTTAGTAACATTATGTTATTGAAAAGAATATATATCTCTTTTTGTGAATAGTAAACTATAACAAACTTTTAAAATATTCGACTGGCTAAACACCATTATTAAAGTCTCTAAGGTACGTATGTTATTCAAACAATGAGTTTATAAACAATGAATTATTACTATTCAAAATAACTCGATAAATCTGTATAGATTTTAAATTATTCGTATTATATAAATTTATACATTGTACAATAAATATTACTATTATTTTAATGAACAATTGATTTTTTTTTTTTTTTGATATATTATAAAGTCATATTTGGGAGGAACCGCGTAAAAAGATATCCATTAACGTTAATTCATGTGATTTTATTTTAAACATATACGTAATACGTAATGTACTCACTTATTAAATTATGCATTATTTCGTAAGTGTTTTGTTAAAATAGTTTACTAGTAGTTAAATAAAGTTTAAATACATGTGGTATACATAAACTTCTATACGTACAATGGATTTAGTTTTTATTTTGAAACATTTACGTCGTTACAAAAAGCTTTGTTTTTTTTTAAGAAAAGGTTTTGTAATTATATGACCGAATTTATCTTATCAAATGATCACACAGCATTTATTGTGTCGGTATGTTTGCTTTCTATGTTTCAAAATATTTGCTACGTATATAAGCGCACTATCACTATTTTTTTTAAAACATAATAATCAAGCTTAGTAATACAATACATACGTACGTAGTAAAGGTTTTAGAACAATTTTGGTATTAAAAATAAGCTAATAAAATTTATAGTTTTTTTTCAAATAGCTACGTATTAGAAATTAAGAGCATACTGTATATTATATGCAGTACTTAAAAATTCAATATTTTTATAGTTTTTAAAAAGTATTCAATTTTTTTTATAAAAATACTATATTTAAAATAGGCAATTGCCAATTTTCACCGGGGGATAATGAGTCAAATCGTTAGTTAAAAAACAAGCTATGGAGTTGACTACTATATAGTTGATTAATCGATGGGAAAATTTTTAACCAACTAATCGTTAATTATCTATATACATATATAATAAATGTTAAAATTTTTTTAGCCAATCAAATTGATACAAAAAAGTAATTATTGTCGCGGATCATAATAAAATCGGATTGAAATGGAATTTAAAGTTTCTGATTAATCTTTTAAAACCTACTTATACTTGTTTACTATAAATTCTACCTCTAAAGCTGGCCTCTAATGCTAAAAAAGCTAAAAAAAACATGCATTTCAAAATATATTTTTTGGTGGCTTGTTTATTTTATACTATATAAAATTTTATTTTAATCTAATTTTATTTTAACTTATTATTAATCAATTAAATTTATTAAAATTATATAACTAATTGTAACTAAAATATTATATTTTAAAAATATATTAACTAATATTTAGGCTAGATATTGCAAAAAAAAATTATTAATTCACAATCCACATATAAAGAATAGGATTTTATAATTTACAAAAAATATAATTTACTATGTTTTTTATATAAGAATAAAATCTTTTTTCCTTTACACTTATAAAAATTTTATATAGTTACAAAAATTAAATATAAATAACTTTTTATAAACTAAACCAATTTTAATAATTTTTTTGTATTATATATAAAAAAGCATTCTTTACATTTTTAATTAAAAAGATAAAGTATATTAGTATAATAAAAAAAAATAGTTAGTTATAGAAGAAAAAAAGATTTCATAATTATAATAAATTTAATAGTAATTTGTATCTATAAAATTCTATCCTTCTTATATAAATTAGCAATTAAATTTTTTATAATTAGATTATACAAATTTAATAAATTAATTTTTATAATATAAAAATTTTAAAAATAATCTGATAATCTGATTTTTAATTTTATTTTTAAAAAATTTTATATATAAAAAATACAATTATACCTATAGTAGTTTTGTATCTATTATATGTTTTTATGTTTTTAAAATTTTCTAAATTTTTATAAGTTTGTATATAAAATTTTTAACATTAATTTTTTATATTAAAGTTAATATTAAGATTAGGGTTAGGATTGGAAAGAGTTTTTTGTTTTTTAAATATATATTAAAATGACTACTTGAAAGTTTGATATAATTTATTAACTTAATAGTTCAAATATTAGAGTTAATGAATAGACAACTCTGACTTTGTTATATTAACAAGAATATAATTAGTCATATATACAACTTTAATTATTGTCTAATTAAGGGTTCTGCTATACTATCTATAGTTATTCACCAATTGCTATATCTAAGATCTGCCTATAGATCTTCTATTTAAATTCTTTGATCGACTTGGTGTTATCAAATATTTTATCTAAAAATTACCTGTTATTAAGGTCTTTTAAAACTAGTTTATCTTCATAATAAACTTACCAAAGTGGTCTATGTTCTATATATGTATCATTTAGATTTTCAGTAATTTAAATCTAATCTAAAGACTAATACTTGTAGTTTTTATTACCATCACTACTATTATCTACTTCTTGCTTTTGCAAGTTTCATTCTGATCTTAATATCTACTTCAACCAGTCTTTATATTGATCTCTTCCCAATTATCAAACCAGTTAGTTTAGATATATTATTATATCTAAGCTTCTAGATTCTAAGTACTTTTGGTTTTATTTCTTTTGGTTTCTAATTCTGTAGCATAGAACCTTTTTCTTTAGTATAATTCTGATAGTTAGGTTAGTAGACTCTTCTTGCTCCAGAGTTATTCATTTGGTTCTTTGGTCTTAAGTTCTAATTTTCTATAATATTATTAAAGATCTTTACTATTTCTTACTCAGGTCTTGCCAAACAGGTTTCAAATACTCTGATTTTTTAGATTTAAATTATCTAAGAGTTTTTATTTTGAGATAATAATACCAAGGCTACAAATAATATATTCAACCAATTGTCAAATAAATATTACCAGTATATAGGTCTATTTTTCTAAAAATATCTTTGATAAAATTCGAACTTTAGATCTGCTACTTGGGGAATGACAACTTAACTACTTCTCTAAGTTGCTATATTCTTAGGTTTGTAAAGAGTTTTTGGAAATATAAAACATTTTTATTTAGAACATCTCATATTGATTAATTAGCTAGTTTTTAAGATAATATAATATAGATAATAAAATATCATAAGTATATTTTAGTAAAAGTATAAAAAATATATATAATTTTTTAGAAAATCTATTTGAATATTAAATATATTATAATATATTTGTTTGGTTTAACCAAATTTTAAATATTTTAATCATTAAATAGATTATTATTAGTTAAGCTAAACAAAAATATTATTTAACTTAATATATAAGAATAGTTAAGAAATATATTTAAACAAGAAAAATAAAATAAAAGTTTAAACTAAAATAAAAATAATTAAATAATAAATTAAAAATAACAGAATTTATTTAAATATAAATCAAAAATATTATAAAAAATAATAATTTTAGAAAATTGTTATTTTTACTATAGTTTTTTGTTATTTTCACTATATGTTATACAATAAGATATAAAAATTCTATTTTTAACAACCAATTAAATTTAAAAAATTATTTTTTTTAAAATTAAAAAAAAATTTATTAAGTTAAGGTTTGTTAGATTTCTAAGTAAAGTTATAACAAAGATTTTTTGGTTCTAATAGTAATTAGATCATTAAAATCAGTCTGGTAGATTCTATTTAGGTTAAAGATACAAACATAAGAATCTACAAATTAATAGTTACACAAAGTACTAAAGACTCTAATACTTTGTGTAATTATTAATTTGCAGATCTTTATATTTGTATCTTTAACCCCAAATATCTTGGGATCTACTAAGCCAATTTTGATGATTTAACTACTATTAAAATCAGAAAAGTTTTTTTTCTATATCTTTACTTAGAAACTCAACAAACTCTAACTTAATAAAATTTTCTTTAATTTTAAAAAAATTAATTTTCTTTATGTTTGCATCTTTAACTCTAATTATCTTGAAATTCACCAAACCAATTTTAATGATTTAACTATCATTAAAACCAAAAAAAATTTCTTTACAACTTTACTTAAAAGCTCAACAAACTCTAACTTAATAAAAATTTTTTTAATTTTAAAAAAATCAATTTTTTAAATTTAATTGATCATTAAAAATAGAACTTTTTATATTTTTTTGTATAACACATAGTGAAAATAACAAAAAACTATAGTGAAAATAGCAATTTTCTAATTTTATAATAAAAATATTATAAAACTATAAAATAATAGTTTATTATCTGGTATTCTACAATAATCAGGCTTATTAAATAATCTAGATTATCTGACATCTGACTATGATCGGGCTTGCCAAATAACTCAAGTTATTTGGTAGCTCACATATGAAAAAAAAGCTTATTTTAGTTATTTGGCAGCTCATATATAAAAAAAAGCTTATTTTAGTAATTCAATAGCATTATCATTATTTGTACAAAGAAATTAAAATTCTCAATATGCTATAAAATTACTATAATGCTTGTATAGAAGTATTTAATAATATAAAGGCATTTAAAATTCATATTAATGTTAATTGTAAAACAATTCTTATTGTTTCAATACATATTGCTAGCATAATTACAAATATGCATTATTTAATTGATAGTAACACTTTCGGTATTAATATAATAATTTTTAATTACTGTATTACTATCATTATTAATTAAATTTTCTTTAGTGTTATGTATATTTAGAACTTGTGAATAACTTGCTGACTACTATTCGTAAATTTGTTTTGTAAAATAATTTGTAAAAGTTGCCAGAATAGTTTCATAACTGAAGGATTAATTGTCAAAAATGGGTTTGCTGAAAAGGTATAGCATAGTGAATTTTTACTTCGAACTTTCTAATAAAAAATTAATTAAAATTTTTGAATAAATGAATAAAAAAAAAAAAACATATACCTTTGAATTACTTGAAGTTTCTAAATTGTTTGTAACTTCTGAGTTATTTGAGAAATTCAAACTGCTTGAAGATTCAGAATTTTTTAAAGATAAAGTTTTCATATTATTTATTATTAGTAATAATGCATCTTCTTTTTATTGCTATAATGGTTGTACATAAATCCTGTATGATGACTCACTTTTGTGTCTAGTTAATGATATAGTCATAACTGTTAAAACACTTTTTTGAAATAGAAAAGTGATTGGTGTCAATCTTCCAGAATAGTTTATGATATCTTGACCTTCCAAATTAATATTAACTGCAGTACAAATATGTTTTATAAGAGATTAATATAACTTTTCATCTAATCGAGAATCAAGATATCATTTGTCTTTAGAAAGATCTTAATTGTAAAATAGTATTAATATTAAGATAGTATTAATAAAATAAATTATTTAATAAAATTTTACCTTTTGCATGTTTGTTGATTTGTAAATAAAAAAATAAACAATCAGAATTTTTTGGTTTTTTAGAAAAATAATACTTAAAATCATGAACTGGTCTATAGTAATTTTCAGGATCAGGTGGAATAAGAATTACAAGAGTATTGAAACAACCATTTACTTCTTCTTGATCATTTTTTGTTAATTTTTTACAAATTGCATTCTTCTATTTGAAGTAAAAATAAATTGGCTTGTAGAAATTTTGTAATGTTCACCACCTCGAGGCTAAAAAAGAAGACAACTCTATATAAAAATTTGATTAAGCAACTTTTCTAAATTATTAGCAGAAAGTGCAGAATGTTAAAAGATTTGTTTTAATTTATCATCTGTTAGATGATCATAGTGATATGAGACAATGTCTTGTTTTTTTAATTGTTTCATCTTGCTATTCAATGCCTCCCATAATTGAGAAAACTCTTTTTAATTATTGATATTAAACTTATTAACAGATTCAGAATACTTAAAAATATAAATGCTTAGTAATCTTATATAATTAATAAGTGATAATAGTAAATAATCTGATTGGGTATAAATTTGTTTAATTCCTAAAATAAATTTCACCATTTCATGTTTAAGCTGCTGTTTATTATTAATAGTTTCAATTCTATAATTGTATCTCATTTCTGATCTCCAGTTTTCTAAGATTTTAACCTATTTAGCTATAGCTTTGCGTGTATTCTCTGGTATTGTACTAGTAATAATTTCATTGATTTCTTCTTCAAAAGGTTTATGATACTTAATTTTTTTATTAGAAAAGCTGAAGAATCGAAAAAAAAAGAAAAAAAATCGAAAAAAAAATTAAAAAAAGAATTAAAAGAAAAAAATAAGTTAAAAGCAAATAAAAGTTTATTATATTTTATTTATATCAAAATTAACCTTTATTTAATTGACTATATATGTTACTATTATGTATACTTATTATATTAATTCGAGTTATAAGGTACCCAATCATCATCGAATACCAGATAATACTGTTATTGAATACTTTGCACCAATAACTGACATATCTGAGGGTAGAATTTGATTATGATATATCTGAGCCCTTTGGAGCCTAGCCACCTCATGATCAAATTCTACACTTAGATATTTCACGTTATTTGTTAGTGTAATAATAATATTGTGATCACACAGATCATAATATAATTGTATCATATGCCAAATAATTCTAGTTATTGAATACAAAGTATCTAATAACTATATATTATTTGGTAGTTATTTTTATTAAATATAATTTAGTTATATAATTTACAGTTTTTTTTTATTGAAAACTGCTGTATTAGGCCCAAAAGCTTTTAAAATTATATAGTTACTTAATTTAATTCAATAATAAAAACATTAAATTTATATCAATTTAAATATATATTTTTAGTTAATACAGTGCGAGACAGCAAAAAATATCTAATTTTTTAGCAATTGTTAAATATTTAATAACTTTATAACAAATAATTATTTTAAAAA